CCCCAGCACTCACACGGTCTGCTCTAACCACAATTCTGAGTTTGTGCCTCGCGATTCTAGTTAGTGCACATCTTTCAACTTTTCCGGCCATTTTGAACAAGAATTCTTTCTACCCTCAACCCTTATATGAAATTAAAATTAGTCACGGAAAACCGTCCAGCATTTTATTTTTTGAGGCACTTGCTCTCTCTCTCTCTTTCTCTCTCGCATGATGTCTTAATAACAACACCGGTTCTACGAGTCACCAATTTGAATGTGATCAATCCGCGTTCTCAAATCCCAGTTGCCCAACATATACCATATAATAGTCGTAATCACTCAAGGATGTGCTGTGTGCGTGTGCGTGCGTGCGTGCGTGCGTGCGTGCCTCTATTCTTTCCCTCATCGACAGTTAATTTTGCATCTGTTATTGACAATTCCAACTATTCCAGTTTCGGCTGCATCTTTAAATCACACCAATAGGTTGTTTCTGTTCCGTGTTCAATTTTCTCTCGTCCGTGCGGATTGTAAATTGCACCTCGGGATTGTGATCTTCGTGGCGCGTGAGTCCCGGTAGAAACAGGCAAGCATCTGACGTGTTCACATACCCCATTGGGAAAAAGAGTTTCATTGTTAACAGCTTGTTTTTTTTAGTTTGTCACTCAGTTTGTCCCGTATCGTACAGAAGAGTTGACCAATCGGGTGTGGACCTGTTTCTGAGTTCCTCTCATTTCTCCAACTCATTTCTCCCTCCCTTAGATCAGCTCAAACCATTGTCTTCTCGATGTTCACAACCAATCTGTTGTTGCTGCATTTCTCTCTCTCTCGTGTCACTCTCTACTAATCGACGTCCGTCGGTTGGACAGACATCCTATCACAGTGACGAAAGAGTTTGGAATTTCTGTCCACTTCAATCACGACGGTTGTGCAGACTATATTCCAAAGAATGCACGCGTTCCTCTTACTCAATTTACTGTTCCCACTAGGAAAAACATGCCCGTGTGGTTTGTTGACACAGTTGCAGCAAACAAAGCAAACCTCGCAAAGATGGCACTGTCTGTTTCTCTGTTCCTCCGTGATTTCTAAATAAACCCCTGGAAAAAATGCTTAGGCCAAAGACCAATTTGATCATTGCTAGACAGTTCGTCACTTTGACTCCAGTTTCAAATCTGTTCTAGAACAATCTCTTATCGTGTTTAAAAGCCATTCTGGCTAAGAGATTCCCGATCCGTCCCAAAAATGGCGCTATAAATCGCATACTAGTTTTCTTTCAAAGTTACCGGGTTTGCATTCGGCGCTCTTGTCTTGTCTTATCCATCCATCAGTCAACATGTTATGTTTTGCCAAAACGTATGATCGATACGTGCGCCTCATGACTATCGCCCCCCCCCCCCCGACCAATGATACGGAGAGTGAATACCGCTCAGAAAACAACAGTCAGAGTATATACTTGATCATGACTCAAACATGCAAACATATATTGGGCGTATGAGAAACGACATGGTGACACGCCAATCAGATCGCGTTCTTCATACTCCGGTTGATCGATCGAACAACAGCTATATGATTCACCTTAATCATTCAATCTGGAATCGACGCCCAAAACCGGCGTCACGAAAGCACTTGTGGTATGACGCGGATCGACGCTCCATCCTAACACACTCTAATTCACTATTTATTTTCATTACCACACTCAGCAATTGTCGACCAGCACTCATTTCGCCCGATAGATACCTCACAATTGCCCGACTCAGGTGGCATCTCACTGGACACACACGTTCATGATTCGTCTGTCATTTGGTCTCTAAACTCCATTTTTTATCAATTTGTCCCCCTCGGAATACTTCCTAGGCTATCGGGAAGCTATTCGGGTCCTTCACATGCCTTATTACTCAGCCTCTTGGGATGGAAACAAATACAGCCCATCTCCATCGCTGCTTCTTCGATGAGGTTATGTAACTGATAGCGTTAGAACAACTTAACTGTTATATACAGAATCCCGTGAACTTCACAGCGACCTTGAGAATGGTTTTCGCTGTCATTGGTATCACTGTAATTTGTTGGCATACATGTCACGAATTTCTTCTTTCATCATCATCATCATTATCATCAACATCCGAGTCATCATCATCATCATCATCATCATCATCATCATCATCATCATCATCATCATGAATCGTCATCATCATCATCATCATCATCATCATCATCATCATCATCATCATCATCATCATCCTCATCATCATCATCATCATCATCATCATCATCATCATCATCATCATCATCATCATCATTCATTATCATCATCATCATCATCATCATCATCATCATCATCATCATCATCAAATCATCTTCATTATCATCATCATCATCATCATCATCATCATCATCATCATCATCATCATCACATTATCATCATCATCATCATCATCATCATCATCATCATCATCATCATCATCATCATCATGTCTCATCATCATCATCATCATCATCATCATCATCATCATCATCATCATCATCATCATCATGATCATCATCATCATCATCATCATCATCATCATCATCATCATCATCATCATCATCATCAGATTCATCATCATCATCATCATCATCATCATCATCATCATCATCATCATCATCATCATCCACATCATCATCATCATCATCATCATACGAATCATCATCATCATCATCATCATCATCATCATTTCATTATCATCATCATCATCATCATCATCATCATCATCATCATCATCATCAAATCATCTTCATTATCATCATCATCATCATCATCATCATCATCATCATCATCATCATCATCACATTATCATCATCATCATCATCATCATCATCATCATCATCATCATCATCATCATCATCATGTCTCATCATCATCATCATCATCATCATCATCATCATCATCATCATCATCATCATCATCATGATCATCATCATCATCATCATCATCATCATCATCATCATCATCATCATCATCATCATCAGATTCATCATCATCATCATCATCATCATCATCATCATCATCATCATCATCATCATCATCCGAAAACGAATCATCATCATCATCCGAATCATCATCATCCGAATCATCATCATCCTCATCATCATCGTGATCATCATCATCATCATCATCATCCGAGACATTAACATCATCCAACATGGATTTTTTTCGTTCAAATTATGTTGCCTAACATCAATGCATGGATTCGAATCCAATCAAGTCAACTGAACCTTTCAAACTTCTTTTTCTCTAATGCGAACGTACTTCGGGCTCTCGCAGTGCAGCGG